AGGAAAGAAGGGAGGGAGGGAGGAAAGAAGGAAGGAAAGGAGGAAGGAAGGGAGGGAGGGAGGGAGGGAGGAAGGAAGGAAGTGCTCAAAGCTGTTCTAAGAAGACCATCATAAGCTCTAATATCCTCAGACCCCGTCCTGCTATGATGTCTCATGGGCCATCGTATTATATTTGAAAGAGCTTTTGACTTGGAGTTGGAAGATCTGGGTTCGAATCCACACAAGGCCCTTACCACCGGTGTGCCCTTGGGAGGTCCCTGCCTTCATATGCCATGGGTTCTTCCTTCCTCAATAAGGGGAGCTGGGCTAGATCAGGCTGAGCAAACTCCAGGTGGGCTACTCTCAGGCCACACAGAAGCAGAGGACAGGCCCAATATGGCCGGCGGGCTGTAGGGCCGTGGGGCCAGACTCTTGGGCTGGGAGATCTATGAAGCTTCCTACTTATGATGTGTGGGGAATGGGGATGCTTTTTTCAGCCATCCCACTAACTTGCTGTGGGAGGCAAATTCCTTAACCTTTCTATGTCTTAGTCTTTTAAGGGAAAAAAAGATCTTGGAGACACAATGCTAATTCTTTCCTTGGAGAATTTAAATGATGGAGAAATACTCTGAAAAATTTAAAAAAAAACAGTTGGTACCTAGTAAAAAGCTTCCCAAGATGCATGACTCACAGGGGCAGGAGAAAGCAGAAGGTCTGGTTCCTTGGACACCTCAATCTGAGGCCCAGTTGGTGAGTAAATATGAAGTCCCTACTATGTGCAGGCACTGTGCTAAGGACCAGGGATACAAGAAGAGGCAAAGACAGTCCCTGCCCTCAAGGAGCTAACAATCTAATGTAGGAGAAAACAAGCAAACAAATATGGACAACCAAGCTACAGACAGGATAAATAGGAAATAATGAACAGAGGGAAGGCTCTGGAATCGACAGGGCTTGGGAAAGGCTTCCTGGGCTTTTAGTGGGGACTTAAACGAAGCCAGGAGGCAGAGATGGGGAGGGAGGGCCTTCCAGGCACAGGGCACAGCCAGAAGAAACGTCTGGAGTCTGGAGATGAGGGTTTTGTGCGTGGAACATCCAAGAGGCTGGTGTCACTGCATTGAAGAGTACTTGTCAGGGAGCAAGGCATAAGGAGACTGGAAGGGTGGGAGGGGCCAGGTTATGAGGGGCTTTGAACGCCGAACAGAGTATTTTGTATTTGATCGTGGAGGTGATGGGAGCCAATGGAGCTTCCCCAAAATGGCCAGCGTGTGTGAAGCTGAAGCAGGGCCCTGCGACAGGCCTCCCTGCATTTCTCCCAGAAGCCCACTCTTCTCTCCCGGAGGCATGGGGTTTCCCTCACTCCTCTCCCTGGCTCCTGCAGTCAGAATTTCCCACAATCCTCCACCCATCGCCCTTGGGGAAGTCAGGGATCTCCTGCCTTCTCCCATCCCAATTACAGGAATTGTCAAGACTCTGTGTGTGCAGGCAAACATGTGTGTGCCCATAGATTTGGCCTCCCTGGCTAGGAGTATACAGAGAGACTCTGTCCAGGTCTGAGATGTTAGGACTCTGCGTGGTCTGCCTGAAAGAGAGACATTTAACTACAACAACAGTAGAGCTCGTGGACCCTGGTTCGAATCTCAGTTCTGCAGCTAACCGCCGGATGAAGAGAGGGTTGGCCTGGACGCCCCCTAAGGTCACCCCTCTCCATCTCTGACATCCCAGTTTCTAATCCTCCGGGCCTCCGCAGCCTTCCCCAGCTTCAGCCCCTTGCCTTGGTTTCCCACTCCAAAGTTACTTTTTCCCTAGACACAGACCTGGTCAAGACCTCTGCCGTGGCCTCAACCTCAGCAAAGGCTGACAGTTGCAGCCTAGGCCCATCTCAGTCGCACCTCTCCCTGGGCACGAGCCAGCCCGGATGCCTGGGAATGCTCTGCCCTACTCCTGATCTCGTCGACTCATCCATCCATCACCCTACTTCAGGGGCCTCCTGTCAGGGCCTCCCTGGGGCAGCAGGGCTGGAAGGAGTAGCCTCTCTTGGCCCGATATACCCACGTTACAGCCCACCAGGCGTAAACAAGCGTGCTCTCTTTCCCTCTCTCTATCTCTGTCTCTCTCTGTCTCTCTCTCTCTCTCTCTCTCTCTCACACACACACACACACACACACACACACACACACATGCACACACACACTCACACACACACACACTCACAGTCCTGGGCACAGGGCCAGCAAACTCCTTGCCCAGATGCGTCAGAAGCCCTCAGAGCAGCAAGGCGTGGGCACCCGCCAGCATCCTGCAGGGGTGCCATCCAATCGAGACAGGAGGGAATGAGTCCCCCTTGGCAGGGAGACTCCTCAGGGGAGCCAGGCCCTCCCTCCATGCACTAGCAGAACAGCCTCCTTCCATGCGGCTGCTACAACACCCAACCCACACCCCCCATGCACCACGCCAGGCACATCCTGTTTCAGGAGGACCACAGCGGGCGACAGCTTCCCTGCGCCCAGCCCCTTAGTGCCCTCCCAGGACAAGGAGCCCAGCCCCTGCCCAGACGTACCCAGACTCCTCTATGGCATCCCAGACCACTGACCCCTTGAACCCCTCAAGAGCTCCTTGAGGGCAGAGACTATCCTGCTTACTTATATTTGTAAGCCCAGCCCTTAGCACAGACAAAGAGCTGAGTAAATGTGTCATCTGTCTATCTGCCCATCCCCAGCCAGAAAGGCCACCCACTCCATGCCCAACAGTGACCATCAGGCAGCTGAAACCGATACCCCTATGCCTTCCATCCATGACACCTGGTTCTGCCTTCTGGGGGCCAAGCAGAATAAATGTAACCCTCCTTCTACAATACAGTACTTCAAATGCTTGAAGGCAATTATTATATCCTCCCTAAGACTTTTCTTGGGGGCAGCTGGGTGGTGCAGTGGATAGAGCACCTGTCTGGAGTCAGGAGGACCTGAATTCAAATCCAGCCTCAGACACTTACTAGCTATGTGACCCTGGGTAAGTCACTTCATCCTGTTTGCCTGTTTCCTCATCTATAAAAGGAACTGGAGAAAGAAATGGCAAACCACTCCAGTATCTGTGCCAAGCAAACCCAAATTGGGTCACAGAGAGTCAGACGCGACTGAAAAATGACCAAACAACAACAAAGACTTCTCTGCTCCAGGCTAAACATTCCCAGTTCCCTCCGTCCATCCGTATAGGACGTTGCTTCCAGTCCTCCACAGGGCACGGTCAGATTCGCCTCTATGGCCTCGAGCCCTGAGCCAAAGCTCAGGCTGTTATCTCTTCTGTAAAACTGTGCCCCTGAAGCCCTTTGGCCACTTTTGAGAGACGTGATTTGCCCATGGTCACACATCTGCTAGGGCCTGGAGCCAAGAGTCAAGCAGAGGCCCGACCTGGTCTCTGGACTAATGCTGTGTGACCATGCATAGGTCACTTCCATTCTCTGCCTCAGTTTCCTCATCCGGTCCATGGGGATAGCAGTCTTTGTACTCCCTCACTCACAGAGGCATGGTAAGAAAAAAAAGCACTTTGGACACTTTAAATCTCTAGCAATTGAGTGATTATATTCCCCAAGAAGCCCTTTCCCTCACCTCCTTCTTAGTCAACCAGGCCAGCTCAGGGGAGTCAAAGAACCACAGAATCTCAGCACCAAGAGGGCCTCAGAGGACGTCCAGTCTGACTAGGCAATGGCCATCCAGCCTCCCCTTAGCGATGGATGACAGGAAGCCCAACACCATAGCACAATTGGCTCGCCCCCTTGTTTTACAACCCTCCTTGTCTGAAAGTCTATCCATAGCTGAAGGGACCCCAGGGGCCATTTTGTTCAACCTCCTCACTTTACAGATGGGGAAACTGAGGCCCAGAGACAGAAGAAACAGGTAGTAGGCATCAGAGTGGAATTTGAACCCAGGTCCTCTGGCTTCAGAATCAGGTTTCTTTCCCCCATACTCAGCTGCCTCCCTAAAAGGTCGCTTGTCCTAGCTCTGCCCTCTGAGGCAAAGAAGAGCAAGCCTCCTTCTCCATGGTGGCCTTCAGACACTTAAAGGTCATGCTCACATTGTATTCACTCCAAGCCTTCTCTTCTCTAAGGCTAAATACCCCCAACTCCAACCAAGCCTCATATGACATGACTTGGAGGTTGGGTAAGGGCTGGGGTCACTGAGAGATCAGTGTTAGGTTGGGACAGGGGAGGGGGCTCAGCCCTAAATGGGGAAGGGAACTGAGAGCAGACGAGGCTTTCACTCACCTAATGGTGTGCTCAAAATAGATGTCATCCACCGAGGCCGTTACGCATGGGCAGCCTGCATGTTTCTCAGCTAAACACAAGGAAAGAGAAAGGGGCACGTGCCCCTAAAGTCACCCAATGCTCCCCTCCCCAGAATCAAAGGCATCTAGAACTGGACAGGACCTCTGAGATCACTGAGTCCACCCTTACCTGAGCAAGAATCCACGTACCTCATGACCACATGCCACATAGGTGGTCATTCAGCCTTGGGATATAGACTTCATGACCATGTGCCACATAAGTGGTCACCCAGCTTTAGGGTAAAGACCTCGTGACCACGTGCCACATAGGCGGTCACTCAGCCTAGGGTAAGGACCTCATGACCATGTGCCACATAGGTGGTCACTCAGCCTAGGGTAAGGACCTCATGACCACGTGCCACATAGGTGGTCACCCGGCCTTAAGGTAAAGACCTCAATGACTCCTGAGGCAGGCCATGCCAAGCTGCAACATCGCTTCACTTATGGAGCCTAAAGCTTCTTCCAGCAGGCTTCTGCCCAGTGGTCCTGGCTCCAGTCTAAGCCATCCAGGTAACTCTGGCTCCTTCTCTCCCCCTCCCCCCAGTCTTCATGATTTTCGGTGCCCTCACCATCCTGGTAACCCTCCTCTGGACACCCTGCCCATGTGGCATGCCCTCAGTCTCTCTGCCTGAAGACTTCCCAGGGGGGAGGACCCACCCTCTCCCAGGGCAGCTCAATCCACTTTGGGATAACCCTAATGATGAGGAAATTTGTCCTGACATCCTGCCTAAATCTGCCCCCCACCCCACAGCTCCTGGCTCTACTCTCTGAGGCCAAGACAGTCCCTCTTCCCCAGTGGGACCAGAATGAGGTTTTTGCCTTTAAGAACAAACAAACAAACAAAAAAACACCACTTTTTTTGAGCCAACCAAGACTTAAAAAACCGGGGTAGCAACATCTAATGGCAAAATTTAATTAGCTTCTTAATGGTATTGTGTGTGCACCCTAAGCTGCATTGATTATCTTCCCCTAAAAGAAATCACTGGGGAGACTTTATAAATTAAAAAAATTAATTTAATACATTGGCTCCCTGTGGTGTGTCAGGGAAGGCAGGCTCGGTGACTTCACCCTGGAAGTCTATGCTCCTTCCCTCCCCCATTTCTCCCTCCCTCCCCACCCCCACCTATGAGGCAGCTCCTCTGGCTCAAGGCCCTGGGTCCGTGGGCGGAAAGGAAAGGAAGAGGGAGCTGCTGACAGAGCTTGTCCCAACCATCCCTACTCTGGGCGCCTGCCAGGAGCATGCACCCAGGCACATCGAGGACTGAGGCGACTGAGGCCCAGAGAGAGAAAGCACCTTGCCCAAGGTCACACAGCTGTTAAATTCACAAGATCATACATTTAGAGCTGGAAGGGCCCCTAAAGTTCATCTAGTCCACCATTCCCATTTTACAGATTTGGAAACTGAGGCCCAGGAAAGGAGAAGTGAATCGCTACACAGGTAGCAAGTGGACCCAGGTTGTCTGAACTTCACATACAATATTCTTTCCACCGTATCAGTCAATCAACAAGCATTTATAAGCCTCTGCTCTGTGCCAGGCACTGTGCCAGGCTTTGGGGGTATCGAACAAAGAATCAAACTGCCTGCTTGCAAAGAGCTTACATTCCAGGGCAGGACTTCTAGCCTGAGGCGCTGTCCAATGTACCACATTGACTCTGGGCTGGCCACCAGGGCTTTTCTTCACGGTTCAAATCTGCACGGCCAGGACTGCAGGGCTTACCCCAGACCCTCAGTGCAGGGACTCTTAACCTGAGCTCTATAACTTGCTCTTCAAAAATATTGAGATAACTGTCCTCCAATAGAATTAGTTTCCTTAGTAATCCTCTGTATCTTATCCTAAACATTTTTAAACATGGTTCTGGCAGCCAGGGGCCTCCACGGTGCACAGAATGCTGGGCTTGGAGCTAGGAAGACAGAAATTCAAATTCGGCCTCAGGCACTTGCTAGCTGTATGACCCTGGATAAGTCACTTACCCTCTATTCGCCTCAGTTCCTCAACTGTAAAATGGGGACACACCGGAGAAGGAAATTGCAAATCACTCCAGCATCTTTGCCAAGAAAACCGCATGGACATAATCCATGAGGTCATGAAAAGTCAGATACCACTGAATGACTGAACACCACCACAATACAGTGCTTATTGATGAGTTTTGATCCTTTCCTGTGCTAATCATCTAGGTTCTAACATTCTATGTTCTTAGATAGCTTCCTGATCTAACGTTCTAGGTTCTAAAATTCTACCTTCTGAGATCTCTTCCTGTTTTAATGTTCTATATTCTAACAGCACATGCACAGAGGTCTCTACCAGTTTTAACTATTTATGTGCTAGGTTCTTACATTCTACCTTCTTTCTGCTCTAACACTCTAAGAGGGTTCTATGTTCAATGCTCTAATGTTCAATATTTTATCCTATGTTCTATGTTCTGTGAACAACGTTGTATTTTCCAAGATTCCTTCCTACTCTAACTTTCTATGTCCTAATAACACACTTGCAAAGGTCTCTTCCAGTTCTAACCATTTATGTTCTAGGTTCTAACAAACATTCTGTGTTCTGATATCTTTTCCTGCTGGAACATTGTATTCCTCTCTTCTTCCTCTTTTGCTTTTGCTTTTTTAAAAATAAGATAAGAGATATGATAAAAATAAGAGATGGCTCTCTGGGGGAAGAGAGGGGGAGGGATACCAGGGAAAATCTAGGCAATGGCAAAAACAAAATACCAATAAAAATCTGTTTTTACGGCATTGCACATTTTGAGTTCTGTGTTCAGTATTCTAATAATTCTATACTCAGAGATTTTTTTCCCCACTCCAGGACTATGGGTCCTTATATTCCAGGTTCTGTGTCCTTGTGTTCTAGGTTCTGTCTTCTCACATTCTAGGTTCTGTCTTCTCACATTCTAGGTTCTGTGTCCCCACATTCTAAGTTCTGTGTCCTCACATTCTAGGTTCTGTGTCCACAGATCCTAAGCTCTGTGTTCTCACATTCTAGTTTCTGTGTCCTCACATTCTAGGTTCTGTCTTCTCACATTCTAGGTTCTATGCCCTCATGTTCTAGTTTCTGTGCCCTCACATTCTAGGTTATGTGTCCCCACATTCTAGGTTCTGCGTCCTCACATTCTAGGTTTGGTGTCCTCACATTCTAGGTTCTGTCTTCTCACATTCTAGTACTATTCCTATGCACTGTGCTCTAAGCTGGTCCCTTCCTGCTCTGACATTTGGCATGCTGCCATGCTTTACGTCCAAGGATCTGAGGTCCCTCTGACTCACGTTCTGTGATCCTCCCTCTCATCCCAGGTCTGGGGGTTACCTTCCCCAAGAAAAATGCCACCTGCTTAGTTACTTGATTGAGTGTCCCCAGCAGGGGACTTTATGTTCTTACACTCCCTGCCTCTGTCTAGAGGCTCAGGCAGGCAGGGAAGACTCGAGCTGGGACCAGCTTGGGAAAAGGGCCCCAGATCTCACTTCCAATGGCTTGAGGGGACTTCCCTCCAGCCCCACCTGCTGGACCAAGCCCAAGGGACAATGGACTACTTGTTAACCAGAAGGCCTCACTGAGCCTGCAGTCACTGCCCTGGTGCAATAGGGGCCAAAGTCTCCTTTTTCACCATATCTCCCTGGCCCTTAGAATCACCCTGAGCCTGGCACACAGTAGGCACTTACTCAATGCTTACTGCACTGAACTGGCTCCATCCCAGCTGGTCACCCATGGCAGCTGGCTTTGTTCTCAATTCCCTTGCACTGATGAGGCAGACGTGGGGGGAGAGGAATGGAAGGATTTTCGTCTTTCTTTAAACAAGGCTGAGGGCAGACACACCTTCTTGGAACAGAAAGGACCTTCAGGAGACACCGCCCTCTCCCACCCCTCCCCCAATTCTTGCTCCATAAACCACCATTTGGTTGGCTGCTCTTACAAGAGCCCCCAGGGAAATCTTGTTGTCTTTAAAAAGTCCCCAGCCGTTGGACTTGGGAGCCAAGTTTTCAAACCCCAACAGCCACATCCAAAGGACCACAGATTTAGGGCTGGAAGGGACAAGGGGTTCATCTAGCCCAATCCCTCTTACACATGAGGAAACTGAGGCCCCGGGGAACAAAGTGACTTGCCCAATTAGTATGTAGGAAAACCAGGAGCCTCCCCAGCAACTCTGACTTCCCACAAATCCACACTGCCAAGGGAGCCAGAACAAGGGGACAGGCAATGCCAGGCTCATGGGACAGAGCCAGAATGAAGAGGCCCATTCAGAATAAAATGGTGTCTGTCTTGGTAGCACTTTAAGATGTAAAAATCATTGTCTTCGTGACACCTCCGGGAGCTGGGCTAGTTCAAGTATTATGATGCTCATTTTATAGATGGAGAAACTGAGGCCCAGATCGAAGGTCATTCGGGTCATAAGTGGCAAAGCTGGGATTCAAATAGCACTGTTTCTGTTGTTCCAAATGAGGCCCTAGGAAGGAACCAAGGAGAGAGAGACAAAAGAATTTCAAGCTAGGAGGGGGACTCAGATAGCATTTAGTCCAAGCTTCATCATTTTATAGAGAAAGAACTAAAGCTTAGACAAGGGACTTGTCTAAGGTCACCCCTACTCCGTCTGGTTGGAGGGAGGGGAAAAGGGACCTGTGGGGGCTCTTCCCAGATCCCCACCATCCAATGAGGGCACTAGGGGAATTCCCCTCATCATTTTCCACCTGGCTGCTCTCTTGGACCTCATGATCTCCAGAACCATCATTCTGTACGATGAAATCAGCCTTGTAACTCCCATCTCCTCGGGACGTTTCCCACCTGGGTGGCAGGATTTCATCATGCCCTGTACTGGATACCAGCCGCCACCACCAACCTTCTGCTTTTACTTCCTTTTAACATCGCCTCCCCCATTAGACTGGGAGCTCTGTAAGGGCAAGGACTGTCTTATGGCTTTCTTTGTATGATGGCAAACAGTAGGTACTTAATAAATGTTTAATGACCCTGACTCATACAAATAGTATATGTGAGTGCAAGGAATCCACAAGGGTCTTTGGCTGCTAGGTTGGTTGTAAGCACCATGAAGGCAGGAACCATGTCCTATTTATATTTACAAACCCCTGGGGCAGCTAGGCGATACCATGTATAGATCACCAGCCCTGGAGTCAGGAGGATCTGAATTCAAATCTGGCCTCAGACACTTGACACTTACTAGCTGTGTGACCTTGGGCAAACTATTTAACCCTGATTGCCCCACCAAATAAATAAATAAAATAAATCCCCCTGGGCCTCAGTTTCCCCCTCTAAAATTAGGGGGCTGCAATATAGGGCCTCTGAGGTCCCATCACCCTATGATTATTGCCCAACACAATGCCTATAGAATGAATGAATGAATGAATTCAGCATGGTGGATATGATATGTATACTGTCCTTGAAAGGACGTAGGAGTTGGATTCAAATCCCAGCTCCTCTACCTAATGTTTACATGACCCCTTGCAAGTCATTTAACCCCTCTCAGTCTCAGTTTCCCCATCTGTAAAATGATGAAGGTGGACTAAATGACATTGAAGGTCCCTTCTATTTCTGGAGCTTTGGGGGCAAGAATGTTGGAGAGAGGGCACTTCCTTTGGCGTCCAGGGCCTGGACTGAGTCTCAGCTCTAGTACATGCTATCCAGGTGACCTTGGCTAAGATGTAGGTCAGAAGACTTGAAGTTAGAAAAAAGTTTAGAGATTAACTAATACCATCTTTTCATTTGATAGGGGAGAAAACCAGGGCCAGAGAAAGGGAGGGACACAAAGAGAAATGTCAGAGCTAAGATTCAAACCCAGATCTTCCAACTCCAATCCAGGACTCCTTTTATTATGCCATCCCTCAGGCCCCGATTTCCCCACCCTGTAAAATGGGAATAAAGACACATGTACTGCCTTACTACTACCAGGCAGTGAAATGTCACAGTGGTGTCAGGCCTGAGTTCAAATCCAGCCTTGGATACCTACTAGCTATGTGATTCTGGACAAGTCACTTAACCTCCTTCTGCCTGTTTCCTTATCTGTAAAATGGGAACAAGAAACATACCACCTACCTCCCAGGGCTGTTACAAGGATAAAATGAGATAATATTTATAAAGAACTTTGTAATCCTTAAGGTGCTATAGAAAGGCTAAGTATTAAGAGCTGACATCATGGCACGGTGCCCAGTACTGTGGAGGTCTGACCTTAGTCAGATTGTGCCTAGAAGACCGTGTTGGGTTCTGGGCACCATGTTCTAGGAAGGACGTTGACAAGCTGAAGATAGCCCAGGAAGGTGAGGCGCTTCTGAACTGGTCATAAGATAAAGGACATGAGGGTGTTTAGACTAGAGAAGGGGAGGCGGGGGTGGAGAGGGAGTACGACAGCCTTCTTCAGGGATTTGTCCTGTCCTGGGAGCAGTGATTAGACTTTCTACTTGGCCCCAGAGGGCGGAACGAGGAGCCAGGGAAGTCACCCAGATGTCAGTGTGCACTCCCTAACGATGAGCCATCCGAGACTGGAGGGGCTGCTCCAGAGGGAGGGAGGGAGGGAGGGAGCTCTCCCTCCTGGGAGGTCTGCAGTTAGACACCAGATGACCCCTCCTCAGAGCAGCTGTAGAGGCCTGTTAAGGTACGAGTTGGAGGAGAGGACATCTGAGATCCCTTTCAGCTCTGAGATTCTATAGTACTTTCCTCATAGTGCTGTTACAAGAAAAATGCAGCCTAAACTTGAAGGTGGTCTAGAATCATGAGTACTCATCATCATTGTTACTATTAGATAGTACACCAGGTATCTGGAACAGCACAAGCAAAGGTATAGAGGTGGGAAAGTTAGTGTACAGGAGATGGCCACAGAGTAGGTAAAGGAAGGCAGTGTGCGATGAGGTTGCAAAGACAGCCTACATCACAGTGGTGCAAGGCCTTGAACGTCGAGCCGAGGAGTTTGGGTTTTACCTGAGAGACAGGCGGTTATGTCTATCCACTTCAGCAGCTGACCCACACTCAGCTCCCCTCGATGGTTTGTGTGGTATAGCAGCACCAGCTGGCTCATCTGTACCTCTGTTGGGTTCCTGTAGGTCTCCATGGTGCCAGCTGGGTCCCGGCCTTGGGCAGCCTGCTTCCGGGATGCCCGGCCTGAGAATATGGAGGTGAGGCCCTAGGGCAGACAGAAATACAGCCCCAGAGAGCAAGGCAGGGAGGGGAAGAGGAAAAGGTAGAGGAAGAAGAAAGAAAGTGAAAAAGGAGAGACCAGAAAAAGGAAAGAACAGAGAGGAGAAAGACGGAAGGGAAGAGAAGGAAGGAAGAGAATAAATACCATAAAAGACAAAGAGAGGAAGGGGAGGGGGTGGAGAAGCAGAGAGAGGCAGAGAGAAGATCCTGATTAATCGCCAACCAGTGCTTGCTCTCATCCCTCCACTTTGCCTCAGCTCCCCGCTGACCCAAGCTCCCAGGTTTCTCCAGCCTCCCAACACTAGCAAATAAAAATCCACATCAGCCCTAGATTGGGTCCCACCCTCATGCCCCAGTGTGACCTCACCCACATCCTGGCTACTCCCCTGATCTCAGACTAGGATGGCCACCTCCTGCCTCATGCCATCCTGGCACATGAAACCAGAGCTGCACCCCGAATCCACCCTGGACCCCAGACCCTGTGACTCAGATTCAGGCTCTCCTCACAAACCAGGCTTGTGTGCCCCGCCACCAACACCCGTGTTAGCCTGACCTTCTCTGTCAATCCTATAGAAGTCACTCCATCTCTGAGCAGCTCCCAACCCTAGGCTTGGCTAATGGCCATGCTAGGTGGCAGCCCACCCTGGCCATGCCTGGGCCTGTGATGGCCAAGTATCAACTCTCCATTATCTGTACCAATCCAATCTGATCAATCAACAATTCAATTAATTAATTATTTAAGAACCATTTATAAGCCTTACTAGGTGCCATCCAAACAGAAGTCAGGCACTCCCAGCCTCCAGGAGCTTGCATTCTAACAGAGGAGAGAGCAAATATGGAAGGTTTCAGCTGTAAATCCCATGGAAGGGGCCCAAGGTCTAACAAGCATTTATTACCTAGGTTCCAGGCACTGCCTTCAACACCAAGAATATAAATGCAAACAGCCCTGCCCTCCAGGAGCTTACACTCCAAATGGTAGGAGGTATTAACCTAGGGAAGACAAACTTGGATAGGAAAAAAATGTATCTTTATTTTCACTAAATGAAATTTAGCATTGCCTTTAATTAATGAATTTTTTAGAAAACCATGATTCTGAAAAGGGCTCCATGAATTTCCCTAGACTGCCCAAGGGGGCCCTTGACACATAAAAGGTCTAGTCCTACCCAACAAGCATTGGTAACGTGTCCTTTTTGTGTCAGGCAAGCTAGGAAGGACAATGGTTAGACCTCTAGGCCTGGAATAAGGAAGATGTCATTTCCAGTCGAGGCTCAGACACTAGTCATGTGTCCTTGGCCAAGTCACGTGACCACTTTCTCCCTCAGTTTCCTCATTTGTAAAATGAAAATAATAATAGCACCTCCCTCACAAAACTGCTCTGAGACCTGAATGAGACATTTGTTAAAAGTGCTTAGTACAATGACTGACACATGGTAGGCACTTAATAAATGTTTCTTTCCTTCAAGGAGTTTAATTTACTTAGTGTTGACTGGTTCTGTGGGGTGTTTTTGGTAGCAGAATTAGAGTCCATTTTCAAGACCACAAGTAACATTTTCTTGACTTAGGACGCTGGTCAGGTTAGTCCAGACAAGGTTGCTTAGTGGAGCAGGGAGATCAGGAGACAGGGCTTCTAATTCTGACTTGAGCACTGTGTGACCCTGGGCATATCACTCTCCTTCTCTAGAACCCATTTTCTTTACCAGTTAAATGAGGAAGCTGGACTAGGTATGCTAAGAGGTTCCTCCCAGCCCTGACATCCGCTGTTCTAAGGCCCCTCCCAACTCTGACATCCCCTGTTCTAAGGCCCCTCCCAGTTTTGACATCCCCTGTTCTAAGACTCCTCCCAGCCCTGACATCCCCTGTTCTAAGGCCCCTCCCAGCTCTGACATCCCCTGTTCAAGGTTCTGATCTCTGATTTCCATTGACTGGTGAGGAGAAAATAGAAAGCCCAGGTGGACACTGATCACTGGCCTGGGATCTTTTTCATAAAAATGGCTCTTTCACCACACATCCCCCATCCAACACTCATGGAGTACATTGTTTTTAATTTCCAGGTACGACTTCACATTTGTTTTTTGTTAAATCATCTCTTCTCGGAGGCCCTGGATCTGAGGCCTGCCCTTTCCCTAAGCCCTGTCTGGTGCAGGCCTGACCCCCTCCCCTGCCCAGCTGTGGGCCCCCCACAGTCGTGACAAGCAGGCTCTGCACAGACCCCCAGGGACTTCTCCCACTTGTGACCTGACACACTCCTGGAAGCAAAGCCACAGCCAGCTGGGGGAAGGATCCTCACACACTCAGAGCTGGGAAGACCTGGAGGGGTCATCCAGTCCAGTCCCTTCCTTTTACAAGGAAGAAAACTGAGGCTGAGAAGGTAAGGGTCTTCCCCAAGGCCACCAAGGGTTAGCTGTAGAGAGGGGCCAGGCCCACATTCCAAGCGCCTCTGTCTTCCCAAGGCCCTGGCTCCAGACCTCACCTCACTGTTCTGTCCCTCAGCCCCTTCCTTATTCTCTCCTACCTTTGCAAGGGACCACTTGGTGGAGACCGCCTCCCTCCACTTCCCCCAGAGCCAGCCTTCCTGGGGCCCACATTCCAAGTGAGTGAGCTAGCCCACCACCATCCTGTTACCATGGTGACAAGTGCCAGGCGTGCCCGGGCTGTCACGCGCCTCGGGTTAGCAAACGAGAGAGAGAGAGAGAGAGAGAGAGAGAGAGAGAGAGAGAGAGAGAGGGGGAGAGAGAGAGAGAGAGGCATAGCATCATGCAAGGGAGCCAGTGTTAAAATTGGAAACACACACACACACACACACACACACACACACACACACCCCTTGGCAAAGGGAAAAACCTCCTACCAGGAAAAAAAAAAACTGGTGCAAAGAGTGGAAGATATTGGGCAGCTCCTGGCTGGGTGGGGGAAGGGGGGAGCTGGGGGGAGCAAGTAGAGAGAGAAGCTCAGTCAGGGGCGTGCATCTACAAGGCTATGTCCGTCTGTCTGTCTGTGGGGATGGTATTAACATGTGCAAAAAGCAGACATCCAAGGGTATACGTAGGTCTGCCCCAGAATCTCCAAGGTCAGAGAGTTCAACCCATACATGGACATAACCCCCTCCATACCATGAAGACCAGTTATAGGGAGGTCACTACCTGCCCTTACAGCCCATTCCACTCCTGGACAGTGTTGATAGGGAACTTCCTTATAGTGAGAAAAAATTCTCTCTCTCTCTCTCTCTCTCTCTCTCTCTCTCTCCCCCATCCCTCTCCCCTATCTCTGCTTCTGTCTCTCCATCTGTCTCTCTTTGTCTCTGTCTCTGTCTCTCTTTGTCTTTCCTATCTCTATCTCTCTTCTGTCTCTGTCTTAGTCTCTGTCTCTCTCTTTCTTCCTTCTCCCCCATCTCTCTCTGTGTCTCTTTGTCTTTCTTTCTGACTCTCTCTCTCTTTATCTCTCTCCTCTCTTTGTTTCTATCTTCTGTCTCCATCTGCCTTTGTCTCTCCTTCCTCTCACTGTCCCCCTCCCCTATCTCTCTCTGTCTATCTCTCTTTATCTATCTCTCTTCGGTCTGTATCTCTCTCTTCTCTCTGTCTGTCTCTATCTATCTCTGTCTCACTTTGTCTCTATCTCTCTTCTGTCTCTGTCTTCTGACTCTATCTCTCTCCTCTTTCCCTGTCTC